TTTCCCTGAATTTAAGGGGCCAGTGGGTGGGAGTTTTGGGGATGCCTTCTGCTATCAACTCTCTGGGACCTTAAGAGCCTTTGTAAATAGTCGTCCGAAGTCATTTTTGTCTGAACGTGAAAGTTTTTCTCCTACGAACAACCAAGAAACAAGTAGCTGAACTTGGTGGCTCTTTCCTGGCTCCGCGCCCTCAGAGCGTCATTGCAGAAACTGAACAGCAGGGGGAGCTAGTTTCCTTATCTATACCATGACCCACCTGCTGGGGAGCGCAACCTTCATAGACTGCCCCAAAAGCCTCATCAGGAAACCCCGGGAAAAGACAACTTCTCTTTTCTCGGTGCAGTATATAGGAGGGACCCCCTAGCAGGCAACACGTCTAAAGTGTCTTTCTGTTCGTCGTTTAAAGTAATGTACATAGCCATTACAGAAAATAAAAAAACACTGGCTTCCAGAGGCTAGAACTCTATCTGGATGAGTTTTAAAATAAGGATTCCTGAGTAGTTCCTCTCTAGAATATTAAAATAAAGATTCTTGAGTATTTCATCTCTAGAATATGGCACCCCATACGGTCCCCTTGAGCACCACCAGTTATGGCCCAAATACCAAAAGAAACAAGCCAAGATCTTAATTCTTTGGGATTTTTTTGGTTTTTGGCCCACACCCAAGTGGTGCTCAGGGCTTACTCCTGGCTATGTGCTGAGGAATCTCTCCTGGAAGACTCAGGGAACCATAAATGGGGTGCTGGAAATAGAACCAGGATCATCGACGTACAAGGCAAGTGCCCTACCCGCTGTATACTATTTCCCCGTCCCTCTCAACTCATTTTTACAACAGTTTGAAAGGGAAACATTTATGCTTCCTTTATGTATATGGGAAACATTTATACACATTTGTGAAACATTACTCAGTGGGCCAGGCCAAAGCAGCATCTGATTGCAGAACACGAAAGCAGATAATGGACATCAGCTGTGGGTCTCAGCTGCCCGGGGGCAGCTGAGACCCAAGAATCATGCTGACCTCAGAGATCCTTTCCTATACTTGTGTAGGCTGAGAGTTGGCTCAGAGATAGGTAATGGTGGTGCCAAATCACGCCAGTACACAGACACCACCATCAAAAGCTACAGTCAGCGGGGCGGGGCGGGGGGGGGGCATTTGCCTTGTAAGTGGCCGACCCGGGTTCAATCCCCAACATCCCATAGGGTCCCCGAGCACCACCAGGAATAATTCCTGAGTTCAGAGTCAGGAGTAACCCTTGCGCATCGCTGGGTGTGACCCAAAAAGAAAAAAAAAAAAAAGCTACAGTTCAGAGCTAAACCCTGCTTCTTGCCTATTTTTCTTTTTCTTTTCTTTTTTTTTTTCTCGCTTTTTGGGTCACACCCAGCGATGCACAGGGGTTACTCCTGGTTCATGCACTCAGGAATTACTCCTGGCGGTGCTCGGGGACCATACGGGATGCTGGGAATCAAACCCGGGTCGGCTGCGTGCAAGGCAAACGTCCTACCCGCTGTGCTATCACTCCAGCCCCCTTGCCTATTTTTCTATACAGCTCATAATAAAACTTATGTATGTATATATATCTACATAATATTCCCACTTTTAACTTGTTTTTGTTTTTTTGTATTTAGTTATTTATATTTTTTGACACACCCAGCAGCACTCAGGGATCACTCCTGGCAGTACTCAGGGAATACCCAGGAGTGCCTGACGGTACTTAGGGGGGCCACAGAGAGTGCTGGGGATTGAACTCAGATTGGCCACGAGCCAGACAAGTGCCTTACTTCCTGTTTATCTCTCTGGTCCAGTTTTTATATTTTTACATGATTGGGACAGTTAAAATCTCTCATAATGTGTCATTTCAGGCTCCCTAAATTTACTGAACAGCATGCCAGTCATTTCTCTATTGTCCTGGGCAGCCTTCAGACTACCAGGTTAAACCCACAGCTGCAAAGTCTTAGATTTTGACCCTTTGGATCCTTACAGAAAAAGTGTGCGGAGCCTGGTACGGCAAGTCTGTTTTCTCAGAGGTTAAAACAGGCCTGAGAACTCCTGTGCACAGCAAATGTAGGCTTCACTGTTGCTTTCTGGCCACTTAATCATCTCAGTCGTGTGTTTTTTCATTAAGGAATAATGATGTTTTGTTTGCCACTCAATGCCTCTTTTGCAGACCACAACACCCAAAAGGAGAGAGAGAACACAGGGGATTGCCCTGCCACAGAGGCAGGGGGGGATGGGGGGATGGGGGTGGGGGGGATATTATCCATGGTGGTGGAAAATGGGCACTGGTGGAGGGATGGGTATCTGATCATTGTATAATCAAACCCAAGCACAAAAAATTGTAAATCTACTACTGTACCTCATGGTGTTTCACTAATAAAAAAAGAAAAAAAAGAAATAATGATGTTCAAGAAACATCTCTAGGGGATGTATTTATGTGCCTATAATAGAGTGAAAAAAAAAACTGCAGGAATTTAAAAAATTAGGGCTGGTGACGAAGAGCACATGAATGAGACTCTGTGTTCAATGTCTGACCCTGCAATTTTTAAAAAAAAAAGTTATTTATTTGAAATGAATCTTCCCTGAGTCTTGAGAACTTGAACAGGTGCTAAGAGTAACTGGTGAGTGCATAATTAAACACACATACACACACACACACACACACAAATCAGTCTCTTTTAAATAAGAAAGGCATACATTTATTGCAAATCTAGAAGTACCAGAATATCACTAATACAGAAAGAAATCAGCAATCCCGTTTTCATTTTTCTCCAAACACCTAAAAACTCGATTGGTGGGTCAGCACACATGTTCTTTCCCATGCAGTTAGCAGAATGCACTTAGAGCAGATCTCTCAGAAATCAGTTATAAATATTAAATCGTATCGAACATTCATAGTAAAAAAAGTTGTAAAGTGCTGAAGTCACATGTCTGCAAAGCGCCCCTCCCCCCCCCCACCCCCAGCCCCAAGTCCTTCTCCAGCCGTGACAGGGCTTGGTGACCACCACCTCCACCCCCAGGGGAGGGGAGGTGTGGACTGGCTGGACCCTTGGTCATTTCCTCCCCCCTGCCCCGAGTTTTTTTTTTTTTCCCCGATTGTCCTATTTCTATGGCTGAGAAAAAAAAACGCTCGCCAGGCGGTGAGGAAGTAAACTAACTTTCATTTCAGCACAGAGAAATGTTCAAGCTTGTATGCACCTGGAACCAAACGAGGCTTGTGAAGAATTGTCCCCCTGAGTTGTCCTAAAGGATGAGGAAAGATGAGCGAGGATGGACAGAACAGCCGTGGCGAGAGTAATGCTCTACCTGCCTCCCCTCTGGGCTGGGCAAGGTGGAGACACGCTCGCTCAGGGCCTGTCACCCTGACAACAAAAGGATGACCTGGGAACAACAGCTGGCAACTTGGTGAAATCCAGGCTTCCGGGAGAAGCCCGCGGATGGCAATGGTGGCTCGTGGAGGTGACGCTGCTCTACCCCAGGTCAAAACGAATACGAGAACCTGAACACAGTCGGTGAAATCAAACAGGGATCAAAGACGACCCTCAAGTATTCTTAGGTGAAGAAACAGATGATGCTCAAAAGCTAAGGCAGTTTGCTATTCCTTATTCTTCCCCCTCCAAAAAACCATTAAGTGGTCTCCCTCTTCCTCTTTTTTTTTTCTTTTTGGGTCACACCCGGTGATGCTCAGAGGTCACTCCTGGCTCTGCACTCAGGAATTACTCCTGTCGATGCTCGGGGGACCATATGGGATGCTGGGAATCGAACCCGGGTCGGCGCATGCAAGGTAAGCGCTCTGCCCGCTCCAGCCCCTCTTTCTCTCTGTTAAGATCTCCCCCGGCGGTGCTCAGGGCTTACCCCTGGCTTGGTGCTCAGGGATCACTCCTGGCAGTGGTCAGGGGATTGTATCTTAATCACACCGAGGGACCTTTCCGAAGTGATTTTCTGAGAGAATAGCAAAGTTAACAAGGTTAAAAAGATCCTTCTGGGCAGCCGCAGGAGTACAGAAAGGTCCAGTGCTGCTCAGAACCTCAAAAAAATTTTTTTGATCGCTTTAATCATCTTAGAATAACTTAATAATAAATAGTCATTTAAATTAAAGACACTACGATCACATACTTCTGAATAATTAAAAGCAAAAGGAACCATAGTTTTGAGTGCTGTTCTAGCAAGTCTGACTGGGAAACACTTCTGGAAATGACTGGCCACAGAAAAGGGAAAAATGAGTGGCCATCTTCACATTTATGAAATTCAAGTTGTGGATATATTTGACAGTTGCTGCGTTATCAGCTAAAGGTTTTTGTCTTCAACTGAACTTCCATTCCATGGGGGGTGGGGGTCTTTGGGAAATTACGAGGTCCTGGTGGGTTCATGGAAACCTCTGTATTTTTCAAAGACATTTAAACAAATTTATGCCTATTCCTAAATGAGTCATTTCAATATGACTTAACATTTTTTTGATCAATTTCATTCCTTTTTTTCTTTTTTTTTTGGTTTCTCGAACACACCCAGTGGTGCTCAGGGGCTCCTGAGTTGTGAGCCCCATTGGTGCTGGGGTGAAGGACACATATGTGGTACCCGGGAAGCTTCCTGCAAGGTAAATGCCCTAAACTCCCCGCCAAACCATCACTCCAGCCCTTCAATTTCACGTCAGTGACTGGGCGCGACGGTATTTGGGCAGATAGTAGTTTATCACATGTGAAAGTCCTCAAAACCGCTCTGCCAATCCACATCACTCTTCGAAAATTGTGCACCTGAGCCCTCCTCCGTATGTCTGTGGATATATACTGGTGGCGGCCAGGTGCAAGGAGGATGAAAGCTTTTGGGGTAGGTTTTGTTTTGGCTTACCAAACAAAAAACAAAAAACAGCAAACTTAAAAGAAAGCAAAGTAGAAGGGCGGCGGTAGTGGCGATCACGGATACATTCCCTTTCAATTGTCGTTTCTGGGGGGGAGCAGAGGGCTCCCCCCCTCCTGCTCCCGGGGTCCCCCCCAACCTTCCCCGTAGGGCGGTGGATGTCCTAAGGTCCATCGCTGCGCATCATACGAGCTCCGTTTTCTTCTGAACTTTCGGCTCACTTTTCCCAAGGTCCATTTCAAGAAAGTCTTCGGGAACGTCCTTCGCGTGCAGCCCCTCCGTCTTGGGCTCCTGAGTGTGGGGGCGCTGGCACAGCCCCGTTTTACAGGGTCTCACCAGCGCCAGGCACAGCGTGGCCAGGGCCATGCCCGCCGCGCAGGAGTAGAAGGCCCGGCTGTAGATCTTACTCTGGTCCACCAGCAGCCCTGTGGGAAACACACACGTCAGCCACGCCCGACCTGCCTGCATGCACACGCACATACGCACGCATATATATGCACATACATGAGTGTGCACTCACATACACACATGCATACACACCTACATATGGACACGCACACACATACACATGCACATACACACATGCATGCACACATATGCACGCATACATACATACACACATACACGCATGCACATACCCACACACATGCATGCATGCACATACACACCTATACACCTACGCGTACACGCACATACTATGCACATGCATGCACACACACCTGTATATGTACCTACGTGCACATGCACACACATACACATGCACACACGTACACACACAAACACACTCACAAATGCACATGCACACATATACACACACACATGCATAAGCACATGCAATCGTGCCGCTTTCTCCAGGGATCAGGGCGAATGGGAGGAGCCTTTTCAAGACCAGAGTGAAGAAATAGGCCAGAACCATATCCCCTGAAGCTGTGTTCCTGTTGTGGGGGGTGAGAGAAGCCTTCCAGTCTGAGGGGGGTCCAAGGGTGGTGGTGGTATTCTTCGTTGCTTTTTTTGCGTGGGCGGGGGGAAGGGGCTACACCCATGGTGCTCAGGGCTTACTCCTGGCTCTGCGCCCAGGGATCATTCCTGGTTCTCTCAGGGGATCTTACAGAGCACCAGGTCTCAAACCCAGGTTAGAAGCGTGCAAGGCAACAAGGCAAGCGCCAACCCACCATCCCTCCCCAACCCCCCCCCCCAAAGCTCCCACTACAGCAGCAGAGTTATTTTTGAGACCAAAGAGCGCTACTCTCTTCACCTACTTTCCTTTAAGGTATCTGAATAGGGGCAAGAATTTTCATCTCAATAACCTTATGGGAGGAGGGTGGGTGGCCCAAGTGGTAATTTAGACGGTCTGGGTTCCCAGTGGGTGAGTGGCTCAATGCCAGGACCTGAGGATGTGGTGCTGCCCTGGCCCTGGGGTGACTGGTTCTCCAGGGGCACACTGGGGGTGCTCAGGGGGCCTCCAGGGCTATACTCGGTAAGAGACAGAACATATCCTTGTCCTTCTGGTAAGAAGGGGGCCAGTGATCATCCCGGGACCCTGCAGGGGGTGCTGCTCTGCGCCTGTCCCCATCCCCATGCTGAGAAGGGAAGACAACTTCCAGGAAGTCTCGTTGTTCTGGGACTGAGTATGGAAGGCTAGATCCTGGGTCCCTTTGCCCTAACGAGGCCAGACGGGGCAGCTGACCAGGCCCTTCCTGCCCGGGACCCTAACATCAGCATCAACATCAGCCACCACTAATCCACCATCACCGCTAATTCACCACCAACCTTCACTAGTTCACCATCAGCTGTTGCCTGCTCTGGTCTTCCTCATCCCCTTCTTTGTCTATTCTGGGGTGGTGGTGGGGTTGGGATACATCTGGTGGTGCTCAGGAGCGACCCCTAGCGGTGGTCAAGGTACCACGTGTACTCCCAGGGGTTTGAGCTGTCAAAAATCTTACTCCTGGACTCTCTCCCAACCACGGTCCTTCTCTGTTGCTTTTTGTTTGTGTGTGTGTTTTGGGCCACACCCGGCAATGCTCAGGGGTTACTCCTGGCTCTGCACCTAGGAATCACTCCTGGCGGTGCGCGAAGGGCCTTATTGGATGCTGGGGATCAAGCCAGGTTGGCTACATGCAAGGCTCTCCCTGCTGTGCTATCACTCGGACCCTCAGGGTCCTTCTCTTTAGTAAAAAAGAGTGGGCTCCTAGAGAATCAAGGCGGACCCTCAACAGCAGACTGGAGGGGATGCTTACCCCAGGAAGTGGAGACACACACGCGCACACACACACACACAGAGTCTTGGGGCTGAGGCTGCCTGTGGGCACCTTACCTGCAAGGGGCGGCCCGGCCAGCCCTGAGATGCTCTGGATGAAGACATAGACCCCCGCGGCCGAAGACATCTTCTGGATGCCCACCACGTCGTCCTCGGCCAGCAGCGGGATGTGGGTGCCCGCCACGGTGCCCACCATGCACCCGAAGAAGACGCTGCAGCACATGAGGCCCCAGAACTCGGAGGCGAAGGTGAAGGCGAAGAGCGAGACGGTGACCAGGACCACGCACACGAGCTCGATGTAGATCTTGCGCATGGGCTCGCGGTTGAGCACCAGCCCCATCCCGACCCGGCCGAAGACCTCGGCGATGGCCATGGCGGACAGCAGGAAGGCGGCGCGCTCGGGCTGGATGCCCAGGCTGATGCCCAGGGGGATGATGTAGAGGGAAGGGGCGAAGAAGCCCAGGGTGGCGAAGAGGCCGAACAGCGCGTAGCAGATGAAGCTCTTCTCGCGCAGGATGGAGAAGTCCAGGAGCGGGGCCTTGGCGTTGGCGGCGGTGGAGGTGGTCGCCCGGCCCCCCGGGGGCGCCTCCAGCTCCGAGTGCCCGGCGGGGGGCAGGTGCCGCGGGGAGGTGGGCAGCTCCACGCCCGAGTCGATGGAGTCGATGGACGTGCGCGTCTTCTCGTTGTCCATCATGAACTGCGCTTCCTGGCGCGGCTCGGGGGCGCCGGGGGCGGCGGCGGGGGGCGGCCGGATGACGATGGGCCTCAGCAGCGCGCCGCACACGCAGATGTTGAGCTGCAGGAGGCCCACCAGGAGGAGGCTGTACCGCCATCCGATGCGCTCCTTCAGCGCCGTCAGGGCTGCGCGGGGCAGAGAGCGGGTCAGCGCGCGCTCCCGGGGCCAGGGTACCCCCGGGCATTGCACCCCCACGCACCCCCACAGAGCAGCCCTGGTGGCCCCCAGTCAGCACCTCCACGGCGGGGGTGGTTCCGACCCTCCGACACCCAGAGGCACTGGCAGAGTGTCACGGGGACTCTGACAATGTGACTCCCCCAAAACAGTGGGGCGAGGAGATGACTCCACCCGCTGCACGTGCCGGGCACCCCTGCGCTCCGGGTCCCCTCCAAACCCGGCAGGCCCCGCCCTCCCCAGCACCCCCGGGTGGCCCTGATTTCAAACCGAAGGGTGCAGGGGCCCAGAGGCAGGTTGGTGCTAAGGGCACGTGGCCAACGCACTGGACACCGACACACCGACACCACAGGGTCCCCCCAGCGTGGCCCGCCTGCTGATGCTCTGGGGCCGTTCCCCCCACACCACGGGCTGGAGCACTGATCCCATGCCCCACCGCAAACGGGGAGCACGAGTGTGCTCGCGCCCTGTCCGCCTGTCCCTACTTCCCGCCCGGGATGGAGAGTGTGGCCATAAGGAGGGTGGGGGTCGCGCACTGCGGGGGGCGGGGGCGTGGAAGCGTGCAGTGGGGGCGGAGGTCGCGTGCAGCGGGGGTAACATGGTAGGGGGGGTCAGTGCTGCAGTGGGTCAGGTGCTGCGAGGGGGTCAGTGCTGCGCGGGGGGTGGGTGTCACGTGCTGCGGGGAGGATGGTATGGGGATCGGTGCTGGGGGGAATATGGTGCGGGGGATCAGTGCTGGGGGGAACATGCTGCGGGGATCGGTTCTGGGAGGGGGCATAGTGAGGGGCGCGCTCCTGGCCGCTGGAGACCCAATGCCCGCTGCTGGGGAGGGACACGGGCAGGACCCTGGGGGACTCGTGGGCACGGTTCCCTGGCCTGCGGCTGCTCTGGCACAGAGGTAGCAGTGGCCACAGAGCCTGGCAGCTGGGGCAGCCTGAAATAGCCGCTCTCTGGCTGCTTTCGAAAGAAATTGGCTGACCTCCGCTTGGGCTGGGCTCAGGGCATAGCCCCGGGGTCAGGCCCCCTCACCTCACCTCACCCCTTCCCGGGCTCTAAAAGGCCTCTGGACCTCCAAGGGCTCAGAAGCCGGTCCCAGAGCTGAGGGGACTTCTCCTGCAGCTTCCTAGGGCCCCCCAGGGCCCTTCCTTCCTGCCACTGTCCACTGGATCCTGGGCAGCTGGGGTGGTCCGGGCCTCAACCTGGAATGTGAGCTGGGCCACCCCTCTGCATAACTCCGCAGGGTACTTTTTTTTTTTTGCTTTTTGGGTCATACCCGGGGATGCACAGGGGTCACTCCTGGCTCTGCACTCAGGAATGACTCCTTGTGGTGCTCAGGGGATCATATGGGATGCTGGGAATCAAACCCGGGTCGGCCACGTGCAAGGCAAACACCCTACCCGCTGTGCTATTGCTCCAGCCCACAAGCGTACTTTTATTTTTTAGTTTTGCTTTGCTTTCTGAGCCTTCTGAGCTGCACTGGGGTGTGTGGGGGGGGGGGGGGCATTCCTGGAGATGCTCAGCCACGCGTGAGGCTGAAGAACACCAGAGGGCCCAGGAGAGCAGGGGAAGATACCCAGGCCCAGGGCACGCAGAGCACACACTGCACTGCAGCCCTGGGAGCTGGCTCTCCCGCCCCTGTGCCTTCGTCATCACCCCTGGAAGGGACACGATGTTCGCCAACATTTCATTCTTCTGGCACCTGTTGCTTTGACAGCTAACAGCAGGAGGGACCCAGAACCTTGATTCCCTTGAGACAGCCTCAGCCAGGCAGCCCCCACCCTGGGCCTGGGGTGTTGGTTGTCACTGGGCTCCACCCCTTGTTTCTGGTTACACTTCCCCCAGCCCCACCATTAATACGGACAAATTAAAACCACAAGGCAGGGCTGGAACCATACTTCGATGGGTAGGGCACTTGCCTCAGCCCGCCCGTGAGCGACCCAGGTTGGATCCCTGGAACAACAGAGGGGTCCCTGAGGCGCAACAGGATTGATCCCTGAGTGCAGAGTCAGGCACTAAGCACCACCAGGTGTGGCCCTCAAACCCAAACCACAACCAAACCAAAAAACAAAACAAAAACTGCGAGTTGAATTCTAGGCTTGGCTATTTTCTCATACATCTGTCTGCAACTGATCTCATTCTCCGTCTTCTGGTTGAACATGCAGGGGGCGGGCACAACACAGGGTCTGCCCTGAGGGTGCTCACAGAGCCCTCCCGCCTGTCAGCCTGCATTCAGAAACACTTCAGAGCCACAGGGAAGCGGAGAGGAGGCAGCGAGCACCAAACGCAATGGCAAGCATCTTGCTGCATCTGCCACACACGCCTCCGTGGCACCGGCCCCTTGGAAAAGACCCCAGTACTTCGGGTGCCCCTAGATACTCCGACATGCCTCTCCTGCTTGAAAGGGCAGCCCCCTGGCACACGGAGCGAGCAGAGGGCTGGGCTGCCAACTTGGCATGTGGGAGCCCAATTTCCATTCACCACTCGCAGAAGTGCCCTGGGCACCGCCCAGCGTGCCCTTGAGTTCCGAGACAAGGAGACAAAAAGAGTCAGAAATAAATCGGAGGGGCTGTAGTGATAATTCAGTGAGGAAGGCGTTTGCCTTGGATGTGGCTGACCTGGGTTCGATCCCCAGCATCCCATAGGGTCTCCCAGGCACTGCGAGGTGTGATTCCTGAGTGCAGAGCCAGGAGGAACCCTAACTGTGGAACATTGCCAGGGTGACCCAAGAAGGAAAAAAGGAAAAGAAAAAAAGAAAATCTGTGTCTCTTTGTCAGTAGGTGACCTGTCCTCTCAGGCATCCATGAATATTCGAATCGGAGACAAGACAAGGGCCCGGGCTGTGGCTACAGTACAGTACATGTACAGTACAGTACAGTACATGTGGGTCTCTGGGTTTGAGCATCAGCACCACCAAACAGAAGACCCTCATTCCGCCCCACACACAGATATCAAATATACAGCAATTGGCTGGGGATAAAGGGCTGGTGGTACAGTGGCCCTACCCACATATTCAGCCTGACTTAGCGCAGGACTGAACCGGACTCTAACCTGGCTCTCGGGACCAGGGAAGGAGGGGCCTATTGGTGTGGAAGTTCCGAGTCACGCTCTAAGCTGGGGGGTGAGGCCTGACCTTTGCCAGGGTGGCTGGTGTAACATGGGCCACTGATATTCCGAGTCACGTCAACTCGGATCTTATGGGGTCGGATTCCTGAAACGGGGCCAGGGAAGAGCAAGGCCAGGAACGTGTGTGTGTGTGTATGTGTGTGTGTGTGTGTGTGTGTGTGTGTGTGTGTGTGTGTGTGCGCGGGGAGGGGGGAACAGGATGGAGCAAAGGCCCAGAGTCCCGGAGTTCCTAGCTGGTGGCCCCAGGCCCCCAGCTCACCTACCTGGCGCAAAGGCGAACATGGCAAAGCACTCTCCCGTGGAGGCGACCGCCGTGACCATGGACCGTTTCTTGTCAAAGTACAGAGACAGGATGGTGACCGTGGGGAGGAAGGTCAAGCAGTACCCCAAGCCTGTGGGGGGAGGGAGGAGCCGTGAGGACCATCTGGACTCCAAATAAAGACGCGTGCAGAGAGCTGCCGGGATTGCCTTGTCCCTTAGTTTGGGGGGAGTCGGGACCCCATCCCAGCACTTCTCACGTGCTGGCAGGTGCTTTATCTACCTCTGGTATTTATTATCAGCATTTCATTCTGTGGGCTGGAGCGATAGCACAGCGGGTAGGGCGTTTGCCTTGCATGTGGCTGACCCTGGTTCGATTCCTCTGCCCCTCTTGGAGAGCCCGGAAAGCTACCGAGAGTATCCCACCTGCACGGCAGTGCCTGGAAAGCTCCCTGTGGTGTATTCGGTATGCCAAAACCAGTAACAAGAAGTCTCACAATGGAGATGTTACTGGTGCCTGCTTGAGCAAATAGATGAACAACGGGAGGACAGTGCTACAGTCCGATTTCATTCTGGACAAAGGTGCTGATACTGGGGGAGCGATAGCACAGCGAGTAGGGCATTTGCCTTGCAGACAGGCGACCTGGGTTCAATCCCCAGCATCCTATATGGTTCCCCCAAGCACCACCAGGAGTAATTCCTGAGTGCAGCACTAGGAGTGACCCCTGAGCATCGCTGGGTGTGACACAAAAAGAAAAAAAAAAGTGGTGCTATTTCTGAGGAAAGGGGGTCCATGTTCTCAGTCACAGCACCTTTACTGTTACAGCAGTTATTTCGGGCTGATGGGACTGCAGACTGCTTCTGGGGGCCAGGCAGAGCGCCCTAGGGCTGGAGGGCCTGCCTGGGAAGTAGCCAGGAGGTGCTCCGGGCACCACAGGGTCCAGTGCAAAAAACAAAGACTTGTTTTCTCTGTCTTTCTTCCCTGTGTCTGCACTGAAAATAAACAGAATTCATGATTATTCTTCTTTGGGGGGAATAATTATACTCTTTCTGGGCCGCAGCTGGCAATGCTCAGGAATCACTCCTGACAGTGCTCTGAGGACCCTCCGGGGTACCAGGGATTCAACGGGGGCTGGCCACAGGCAAGGCAAGTGCCTTAAACCCCATACTATCCCCCAGCCCTCAGACTTATTACTATGATTTGTTTTTTGTTTCTGGCCATGCCTGGGGGTGCTAAGGGGTTAGTCTCTGCTCAGTGCTTGGGGATCCGTCCCAGCATAGCTCAGAAAATGGGCACTGCCGGGGCTCTAGCATACAATGCCAGTGATGGACCCATTACACTGTCTCTCTGGCCTGTTGACAGAGTTCTTATATATACGACTTCGATTTGAAAAGACATGAGTTTTGATATCCGAAGATATAGCACTGTAGCACTGTCCTCCCACTGTTTATCAATTTGCTCGAGCGGGCACCAGTAACGTCTCCAGGTGAGACTTGTTGTTACTTTTTTTTTTTTTGGCATATTGAATACGTCACAGGGTGCTTGCCAGGCTTTGCCGTGCGGGAGGGATACTCTTGGTAGCTTGCCGGGCTCTCCAAGAGGGGCAGAGGAATCGAACCCAGGTCGGCCGTGTGCAAGGCAAACACCCTACCCACTGTGTTATCGTTCCAGCCCATCCAAAGACATAGAGGAAATAATTAAAGGTATCTGCTCTTCGTGGGATAAAAGCCACCCGTGATTTTTAATGCAAAGCACACCTCCCCCTGCGGTTCAGATCCTCACACCCCACCTTTGAGAAATACCAGCTAAAGGTGCATAATCACAAGTGGGTGATACTACCCCTGGGATGGAGAGTGCTAGAATGATCCTGGGTGGTCAGGGGTCATCTCAGATGCAATTCGAGGGAGGGTTTTATTTGTTCCCTTAAAGAAGGTAGATTTGGGGGCTAGATAGATGGTACGGCTGGGAGGTGACCACTGTGCCTGCCGGGAGGCACAGCTGGCCCTGGCTCAACATCCCATAATATGGTCCCCTGGGCATCATCAAGAGTGACCCCTGCGCATAGAGCCAGGAGCAAGCAGTCTTTGAACATCACTGGGTATGACACCCAATCAAACAAGCAAATAGGTTTTTTGACTGCAAAAGTCAGGGAGAAGAGGGTCAAAAATGATTCAGCATTGCTTTTTAGAGCTCTTGAAATCCACAAAGCCTAGATCAAAAATCAAGTGAGAAGGAGGAAGAGGGGGAGAAAGAGGAGGAGGAGGAGGAGGAAAAGGAAGAGGGAGAGGAGGAAGAGGAGAAAGAGTAGGAGGAGAAGGAGAAGGAGAAGGAGAAGAGAAGGAGGAAGATGGAGGAAGAGGAGGAAGAGGAGAAGGAGGAGGAACAGGAGGAATTGATTGGTGCCTGCCTTCCCTGCAGAGAGCCTTGAGTCCAGGGGGCACTCACCAGAGAGAAGGCCGATGGCGAGGTACATCTGGTAGACCTGGGTCGTGAAGGATGCTACCACCATCCCCGCACTGACCAGCAGCCCTCCGACCATCACCACCAGCCGGTGGCCGAACCGCGCACTCAGGACCGTGGAGAGGGGCGCTGGGGGCAAAGAACACAATGGTACATGTTGAAGTTCCAGTTCTGAAACTGGGAACATGGGGAAAATGAGGGAAAACGTCTGAAGACTGTTTTCACACATGACTGCGGTTGGTCTGGGCTCAGAGGGGGCCATATTCTGGGGCTCCTCTAAGGGAAACCCAGAGGAATGACAGCCTAAAGCCAACCACTCTATTTTCAGATGAAAGATTTTTGACTCTCCACAAGTGCCTATAATGAGCTATGTGTTTAATTTGTTACTCCAATAAAAATGGGTTTCCTAAACCAGTATCTCCCCCACCCCCTTGTATTCTCTGCTTTGGATTCTTAGATTCTTCCCCCTGTTTTTTCGATGCCCAACCAGGGTGGGGGTGGGGAGCTGTCTGTAGTGAATTCTCAGTTTTGCACACCGGAAGTGAGCGGTGGCGTCACTCAAAAGCTCAGATGGTGACTCACTTAGCTTCTGTCTCCCCAGGACACTGAAATCTGATGGTTAGTCTAGCTCTCTGGTCCTTGGGCCACTGGGGATCTAGATGAGGGCAGAGAAGGTCATGCAGGAGTGTGGGAGGCAATATTCGAAAGGCTGCGTTTCCTGGAGTTGGTCCACATGCCTTGCTTACGCTCATACACTGTAAACTCCAGTGAACAGGGAGTCTAAGTTGGGGAGCTAAAAATCTTCACATGCTTTGAGGTGTCCCTGAGCTTAATGAGGACACAAGCTCCTTTGTCCCCAACCCATCTTTCTGCATCAGGCTAGTGAGTCCCACCCTCTGCAAGCCTTTGTACTAAACAGGCCAATAAATAAATAAATAAAAGTTCATCAGACAACTACTGTCTTTTCTGTAGCAGCCTTTAGAAGAACCGTCTCCTGGTATGATAGAATTCACTAGAAGGTTCTAGCTGATTATTCATAATATATATATATATATATTTTGCTTTTTGGGTCACACCTGGCAATGCACAGGGGTTACTCCTGGCTCTGCACTCAGGAATTACTCCTGGCAGTGCTCAGGGGACCTTATGGGATGCTGGGAATCAAACTCAGGTCGTCCGCCTGCAAGGTAAATGCTCTACCCACTGTGCTATCGCTCCAGTCCCTCTTCATATTATTTTTGATAATTAAAATTTACTAGTGAGTGAAAACAATAAATAAAAGTTTATTAGGCAACTACTGTCTTTTCTGTAGCAGCCTTTAGAACTGTCTACTAGTATGAAAGAATTTGCTAGAAGGTTCTAGCTGATTCTTTGTGTTCTCTTTGATAACTAAAATTTACTCAAGCTTGGGGGATTTCCTTTTCTTTTGGAATACCAAACGTGACATATTGATTCTTATGTGTGTACCTGATCTTTCTGAGAAAGAGTTCAGAATTGAAAAATCAAATATCCAACTGAAAAAAATCACATAATAAAAATGAAATCACATCAGACTCACAGGGACTGTCTTGGAGCTCTTCTAGCAAGTTTGTAAGAGAAAGTGGCAGGACTCAGTAGAGAAATTTTCCCTTTGCTCAAGAGCAAAGACTGAGATATTCCTGGAGCACCATGATATTTAATGAAGGCTTTGGAACATTCTAGACACCCCAGTACCAGAACAGGTGTGGAGTTCAGTCAGGGAAGGGGAGCTCTGCCCAGTGGCCTGCACCTGGACCTTTGAATTAGGCCCCAGGAAGGTTGGCATTGCTGGTGGGGACATGGGGGAAAGGCCTCATCATTCAAGCTGGGCAGAAATGTGAACAGGTCCAGCTTCTAGGGAAAACAGTGTGGAGATTTCTTAAAAAAAAAAAGTTAATAGGATAAGGACCAAAGAGATACTAAAGGGGGTAGGGGGTAGGGATCTACAATACCTGAATAGTCCTATTAATATCAAGGAAATTGAAACTGTAATCAAAAGTCTTCCCAAAAACAAAAGCCCAGGTCCAGATGGATTCACTAGCGAATTTTTCCAAACATTTAAAGAGGTCCTATTGCCAGTTCTTCTCAAGCTTTTCCAGAAAATTGAAGAAACAAAACTCTCCCAGTTTCTATGAAGCTCAGATCTCTTTAATACCAAAAGGAAACAAAGACACCACAAGAAAAGAAAACTACAGGCCGATATCCCTGATGAACATGGATGCAAAAATTCTCAACAAAATACTAGCAAATAGAATTCAACAACACATCAAAAAGATCATACATCATGACCAAACGGGATTCATCCCAGGGATGCAAGGATGGTTTAACATTCGGAAATCAATCAACGTAATCCACCATATCAACAAAAGAAAAGATAAAAACTATATGATCATATCAATAGATGCAGAGAAAGCATTTGACAAGATCCAGCACCCATTTATGATGAAAACCCTCACCAAAATGGGTATGGAAGGGACTTTTCTCAATATAGTTAAAGCCATCTACCACAAGCCTATGGCAAGCATCATCTTCAATGGGTAAAAACTGAGAGCCTTCCCTCTAAGATCAGGGTTGAGATAAGGATGCCACTCTCTCCACTGCTGTTCAATATAGTACTGGAAGTACTCGCAATAGCGGTTAGGCAAGAAAAAGATATTAAGGGCATTCAGGTAGGAAAGGAAGAAATCAAGCTCTCACTATTTGCAGATGATATGATACTATACTTAGAGAGCCCTAAAACCTCTACCAAGAAACTCCTAGAAACAGTAGACTGGTATAGTAAAGTTGCAGGCTATAAAATCAATACCCAAAAGTCCATGGCTTTCCTATATGCAAATAATTACAGAGAAGAAAGTGACATGAAAAAAAAATCCCATTCACAACTGTGTTCCAGAAAATCAAGTACCTAGGAATCAGCTTACCATAAAAGACCTGTTCAAAAAATGCAAAGAAAACTTCAGGAAATAAAAGAGGACACGAGGAAATGGAAAGATATCCCCTGCTCATGAACGGGGAGAATTAACATTGTCAAAATGGCAATACTCCCCAAAGCACTGTACAAATTCAATGTAATCCCTATAACAATACCCATGACATTCTTCAAAGAAATGGAGCAAACACTCCTGAAATTCATATGGAACAATAAGCACCCACGAATAGCTAAAGCAATTCTTAGGAAAAAGAAAATGGGAGGAATCAACCAACCTCCCCAACCTGAAACTCGACTACAAAGCAGTAATAATTAAAACAGCATGGTACTAGAACAAAGGCAGAACCGCAGACCAATGGAACAGGGTTAAATATACTGACATCTCCTCCCAAACATATGATCATCTAATCTTTGATAAGGGATCAAGAAATATGAAGTGGAGCAAGGAAAGCCTCTTTAACAAATTGTGCTAGCAAAACATGCAAAAAAATGGGCTCAGATCACTACCTAACACCATGTACAAAAGTAAGATCAAAATGGATTAAAGACCTCAACATCAGACTGGAATCCATAAGGTACACTGAAAATAAGGTTAGCAATACCCTCCACAACATTGAAGCTAAAGGTATCTTCAAAGATGACACACTACTGGCCAAGCAAGTGAAAACAGAGATAGACAAATGGGACTATCTTAAACTAAGAAGCTTCTGCACCTCCAAAGAAACAGTGACCAAAATACAAAGACAGTCTACAGAATGGTAAAGGATATTCACCCAATACCCATCCAACAAGGGGTTGATATCAAGGATATACAAAGCACTGGTTGAACTCCACAAGAAGAAAATACCCAACCCCATCAAAAATGGGGCGACAAAATGAACAGAAACTTTCTCAAAGAAGAAATCTGAATGGCCAAAAAGCACATGAGAAAATGCTCTACATCACTAGTCATAAGGGAGATGCAGATCAAAACAACAATGAGATATCATCTCACACCACAGAGACTGGCCAACATCCAAAAGAACAAAAGCAACCAGTGTTGGTGCGGATGTGGCGAGAAAGGGACTCTCCTTCACTGCTGGTGGGAATGCCGATTGGTTCAGCCCTTTTGGAAAACAGTATGAACGATTCTCAAAAAATTAGAAATTGAGCTCCCATTTGACCCAGCAATACCACTCCTGGGAATATATCCCGGAAAGGCACAAACGTACAGTTGAGATGACATCTACACTTCTATGTTCATTGCTGCACTGTTCATAATAGCCAAAATTTGGAAAAAAATTGAGTGCCTGAGAACAGACGACTGGTTAAAGAAACTTTGGTACATCTGCACAATGGAATACTATGCAGCTGTTAGAAAAGATGAAGTCATGAAATTTACATATAAGTGGTTCTACATGGAAAGTATCATGCTAAGTGAAATGAGCCACAAAGAGAGGGACAGATATAGAAGGCAGCTCAGATAGAGAAGGGAACACCAAGTAAAGGATGTTTAAAAGACTTGCTCAGGATGCGAGATGCGTGCTGAAAGTAGACTATAAACCAAACAAAATGGCCACTCAATACCACTACTGCAAACTACAACACCCTAAAGGAAAGAGTGAGCAAAAGGGAATGCCCTGCCACAGAGGCAGGGTGGGATGGGGTGGATGGGGAGTGGGAGGGATACTGGGATCAGTGGTGGTGGAGAATGGGCACTGGTGGAGGGATAGGTGTTCGATCATTGTATAACTGAAACCCAAGCACGAAAGTTTGTAAGTCTACAACTGTACCTCATGGTGTTTCAAAAAAAAAAAAAAATGAACTAGACATGAAGAAAAAAAAATAAAGGGGGTAGGGTGCTTGCCTTGCACAGAGTCGAGACAGGTTTGATCCCTGGTACCCCATATGGTCTCCCAGCACTGCCTGAAGTGATCCCTGAGTGCAGACGCAGGAGCAACCCCTGAGCACCTATATGGGTGTGGCCCCCAAACCACCACCAACAACAAAGGATTACTATCTGACTCTCAGCAACTTCACTCCTAGGGACTATCCAAAGAGCAGAGATTCCAGTGCAAAGATCTCTGCACTTCCGGATCACTGCAGCGCTGGCCACAGTAGCCAAGATCTGGAGAAAGCCCAATGGCCCGAGAATAGATGAGTGGATTAAGGAGCCGTGACGTAGGTGCACCACGGAATATTACTCAGCTGTAAGAAGAGGTCAGGTCTGGCCTGTTGCTACATAGATGGAACAGGTCTGTGTGTGCGTGTATGTGTGTATGTGTGTGTGTGTGTGTGTATGTGAAAGTTAGGCAATACAAGTCCAATGGAGAAAGACAGGGGCTAGTACAGTGGGTAGGGCATTTGCCGTGCATGCGGCTGACCCGGGTTCGATTCCCAGCATTCCATATGATCTCCCAGCACCACCAGGAGTAATTCCTGAGCATTGCCGGGTGTGACCCAAAAAGAAAAAATAAACAAAACAAAGGAGAAAGACAAATACTAGGGTAGCATATAAGGAAATGAAGCAAGGGACCAGTGTTCAATGGGCAAAATCCCTTAGACTCTGGCCACAGAATTGGGGTAACCCCCTGAAATTGTATTGACTCCATGGTAGTGGGGGGGGGGGCTACAGAAGACCACTGGGCCCCATGAGGAAATGCATCGCACACACAATGGACACCATTCTGTCTTCAGGGTCAACAAAGAAGAGGTTGGCTCTAGAGGGTGTGGGGCCAACGATGTACCAACCTGTGAATGTCATGACAAACACACAAATCGATACTATCCATGAGACCCTGCTATTGGATTCATTGAAACTGGTCATTAAGTCGTTAAAGAAAATGCCGAAGGACTTGATGATGCCGTAGGTAAAGATTTCAACGAAGAAAAAAGAAACTGCGACGACCCAGCCCCATCCTCCGTCAGGCACTTGGGTGTAGACATTGGCTCTGCAACAAAACTGGGATTTCGTTTGGACCATTCTTAATCTGAAATAAAGTCAGAAAAAAAAACCATTTTTTTAGAGCAGCAATCATAGGAGGGTGGATGATGTTACTACTCTTTGTTTTAGCTTTTTGGGGTCACACACACCTGGCGATGCTTAGGGATTATTCCTGCTTCTGCACTCAGAAATTACTCCTGGTAGTACTCAGGAAACTATAGGGGATGCTGGGAATCAAGCCCCAGGTCAGGTGTGTGAAAGGCAAACACCCTCGCTGCTGTACTGTCACTCCGGCCCCACTAATACTTTCTTTTTTTTGCTTTTTGAGTCACATTCGGCAATGCACAGGGGTTACTCCTGGTTCTGCACTCAGGAATTACTCCTGGCAGTGTTCGGGGGACCCTATGAGATACTGGGAATCGAACCCGGGTCGGCCGCGTGCAAGGCAAACACCCTACCCGCTCTGCTATTGCTCTGAGAACTTCTTACCGTTTCTTCAATTGACACTTTTTGATCTTTGGGTACTAAGAACAATGACAACAATATCTTGCATATGGAGCCCCCAGGGCTGGAGCAAAAGCACAGTGGTAGGGCGTTTGCCTTGCACACAGCAAACACGGCTGACCCAAGTTCGATTCCTCCGTCCGTCTCGGAGAGCCCGGCAAGCTACTGAGAGTATCTCGCCTGCACGGCAAAGCCTCGCAAGTTCCCCGTGACGTATTCAATATGCCAAACACAGTAACAACAAAGTCTCACGATGGAGACGTTACTGGGCCCACTCGAGCAAATCGATGAACAACGGGAGGACAGTGCTACATGGAGCCCCCAGAGAACTTAGAACTTTTCACGCTGTGACAGTTCAATGGGAAGGAAAACCAAACACACAGAACCCTAGTAGGATTATCTAGGAGCATTCTGAAGGGCAGAGAATGGCGCCTGGAGCAGCCTCCATGCTGACCTGGAACTTGAAGATGGTGAGGAGTGAGGGCGAGACTTAAAGCTAGCACAGCTCACAGCATCCTCAGAAGATGCCACCCCGTGTCTCCTGCTAAGCCTCTGGCCTTGCCTCTCCCACTGGTTCCATTCTGATTAGGGTCTGGCACCCCAAGTGGATGGATCCACATGGACAGAACTCCTCGCTGAGGCCATTCTCCCGGGAGTCACTGGTGACCAGGAGTTAATTCCTCATCATAGGTTTACCCACAATTGCATTTTTTTTCTTTTTTCCTGGGCACACAACGGCTGTTTTTGAATCGGATGACCAAGCTGGATAACCAACCCCTTGGGGCCTGGGCAGCTGCTTAACCAAGCTAAACCTGACCTCTCTGTTCTTTTCCCTTCAGAGATGCAATAAACCTCAGCACAGTTCGTACCACGATGCCACTCAGAGGAAACAGCCTGACGTTGGTGTCTTCTGGGACCCAGAACTCGATGCCCTAAAGCCTATGCAATTAGCCACCCTGTGAAGTTGGGGGCGGGGCATGTTTCCAGCCAGCCGGGCAAAGGCAAGGAACTCTAGTGATAATAAATGAATCTGTGGTTTTAGGGCTCGTCACAAGAACCCGTGTTGATTTAAGAGTCTCTGCATGAAGCAGTCACCAGCGACAAATTCTAAGGCAGGAGAGTCTTGGAGAAAGGGCGGGACACAAACTCATCCCTCTCCCTGGGAGCTTGTTTATGATGAATCCTCCTTCCTCGGGTTGAAAAAGCGGCTGCCCGGAGGCAGGGCCTGTGGACACCACCTCACAGGACTCTGATGGGCCTGGGGGGGTGGGGGAGGGGTGTCTCTTCGAACCCAATCGCTACTGTGTTGGGTTCAAGGGAACCAGACTTGTGCTCGGAGAAATGTCTGCTGCCTGCCTCCTGGGGCCCAAGATTCGAGATTGTTCCTAGAGGCAAAATGCAAATGGGGTTGCCCCAACACCCCTATTTCATTGGATGTTCTAGGTTCACTTCCAAGAGAAGGCAGCTGGGGCAAGAGTGGAAAAGGGGCACAGGTTAAGAATTTGGACTTGGGGGGCTGGAGCGATAGCACAGCGGGTAGGGTGTTTCCCTTGTACGCGGCTGACCCGGGTTCAATTTCCAGCATCCCATACGGTCCCCTGAGCACTGCCAGGAATAATTCCTAAGTGCATGAGCCAGGAGTAACCTCTGTGCATCGTTGGGTGTGACCCAAAAACAAAAACAAAACAAAACAAAAAAAGAATTTGGAAGCCTTCGGCTGGAGCGCTATCACGGTAGGGAGGGCATTTGCTTTGCACGCAGCTGACCTGGGTTCAATCCCTGGCATCCCATATGGTTCCCCAAAGCACGGCCAGGAGTTAGTTCCTGAGTGCAGAGCCAGGAGTAACCACTGTGCATCGCTGGGTGTGATCCAAAAAGAAAAAAAAAAAAAAGAATTTGGACACCTTCCCCCCAATTTCCAGTCTTGGCTTTAGAATGCTCTTTCTTCCTAGTGAGGAGAGGGGGGCTGGGGGCACAGCTCAGACCCTGAGCCTGCTGTACCCCTTCCCTTTCACCCCACTCCATCCCCTGAGTCCCAGCTTCTCTTGGGGGACCCTCTGCCCTGGTTCCTTGTCCCGACTCATGTGTTGGGGACCATTTATTCTTTTGAAATGCACTTGTTTTTTTGGGTTGGCATCGTACCCAGTGATGTTCAGGGCTGATGCCTGGCTCTGCACTAAGGAGCTCCTCCCGGCAGTGCTTGGGGACCCTATGGGATGTCGGGGATCCAACCCGGGTTGGTCATGTGCAAGGCAGACGCCCACCCCGCTATTCTCTCGGGCCTGAAATGCTGTTGTTTTTGTGACATTTTTCTGCTTGACCTGCCAGACTTCTCCCCTTTATCTCCTACCTATTCTGACCTTCTTCTGTCCCTAAAACTTGGCCTTAGTTCTTGTTCTCAGAGACTGTCCTGCTCTGGGAATCCACCTCGACTTTTATTTCATCTAGACTTTTATTTCCATCATGTGACACCCCACCTCCCCGCCACCACATACAGATACCCACTGGCCCCCAAACTTTGTGCCCTAAACCCTTTATCCCCCCCCCCCCCCCACACACACACACCTTGATGCTCTGTTCCTCCTTGGCGTGTCCTAGGCCCTACAGGAGGCCACAGCCAGATTCACCCTTGGGAAAAGTCATGGTAAATTCTTCTGGGCAGGGGGGTGGGGGAGGGGAGTTGGGCAGGGAGGGGATGGATTTGGACCACACCCTGCAGTGATGGAGGAGATTCCAGGCCATTTGCAAGTGCCCTTCCCGAGGTGCTGGACTCTCACTGCCCAGGGATGCCCCTCCCAGGGAGGACCGACCCAAGGAAGCCCCTCTGTCCGGTTCCCCTCCTAACAGGCTCTTCACATTTAGGGCTGCAGGATTTGGCTGCCTTTATCTGATTGGCTCCGTTTATCTGATTCTAAGTTCAAGGAAAAGGAATCTGATGAGTTTATTTTTTCTTTTTTGTTGTTGTTGTTGGTTTGTTTGGGTCACACCCAGCAATACTTAAGGGTGACTCCTGGTGCTGCTGGGGGACCATATGGGAGGAACCCGGTTGGCAGTAGGCCAAGCAAGTACCCTACCCGCGACACTCTCTCAAGCCCCAAATCTGAGGTTTCGCTTTCTCGGCATCCCCTTCCTTCCTCTACCTACCAGGCACAGAGTTAGGATCGATTTTTTTTTTCTTCCCAGAAAAATGCCTACCAGGTGCAGGGCCCCCGGGCTGGTGCAGATATGGGCTCGACTCCTGAGAGGTTAAATCTTGGCCTTGAAGACAAGGACAAGGAAGCCGGGGGCTGAAACCCATTATATGTAAAACCGTTTCACTGCGTCCTGTCCTCCTTCCGGTTCAGCGAGCTTCTGGTAAGCCGGGCTAAATGAGGAAGTCCCTGAGGTCCGGCCACCTCCTCTCTGACCCGAAGGCGCCTAAGAAGCCTTAGAATTTTCTTAGAGGGCTCAGGACCACTCTGAGTCATAGCAGTTGGGGGCGAGATGAAACTCCCCCCACCGGGGGTGTGCAACAAAAGGACATATTTCTGTCCAACCTACAATGACTGCAGGACCCAGAGCCGTCGGTGGGATGGCACAGAGATGAATCGGAGAAAGGATGGCACTGTGGCTTCTGTGGGAGGGGACACATGGCCGCTGCAGCCAGAATGCCAACTCTTCAATTCTGGCAAAGCGGGACCCTGCCAGCCCACCACCCGTGTGCCCGCTGGTGCTCTGACTTTATTTGCAGAATGGGGTGTTTTTTTTTTTCTTTTGGGTTTTATTTGTTGGCTTTTGGGTCACACCTGGCAGTGCTCAGGGCTCACTCCTGGCTCTGCACACAGGGATCCCTCCTGGTGGTGCTTGGGCGGACCCTATGGGGTGTCGGGGATCAAACCCAGGTTGGACCCAAGCAAGGCAATTGCCTAACCCACCATGCTCTATCTCTCTGGTCCCTGTGCTGTTGATTTTAACATTCTCTGTGGGGCTGGAGTGATAGCTCAGCAGGTAGGGCATTTGCCTTGCACACGGCTGACCCGGGTTCGATTCCCAGCATCCCATAGGGTCCCCTGAGCACTGCCAGGAGTAATTCCTGAGTGCAGAGCCAGGAGGAACCCCTGTGCATTGCCAGGTGTGACCCAAAAAGCAAAAAAAAAAAAAAAGTTCCTTGTGTGTGTGCGCGCCCATGCGTGTCACATCCAGCTGTGCTCAGGGATCACTCTTGGTGGGGCGCAGGGGTGTCAGCGCCTGACAGGGGGTGCCAGGCAAGTACTCTTCCAGCTGTACTATCCCTCTGGGCCTTTACTAGAACATCTCAAAGGTCAGAGGTGGGAAGTAGGCCCCCTGCCCCCAGCTAGACTTCTCACCCCCGGCCCTCAGGCCTTATTTCCAAACAAGGGGTGCCAAGCTTATGCAGCCTTCGCCCTGGATGCTGTTCCAAGGTCATTACTCCTCAGAGCAAACCTGGCCGAACAGCAGCCTGGGTGCCCGCGGCTGTGGAGGGCACTGTGGCACAGCAGGTGACAAGATGGCCACCTCTGATTGTGCGCCTCTCACTTCCTGAATCTGGCCAGCTGGGCTGGTGCAGCTTTCCGCCTAAGCCGCTGGACCATGGCCAGACGACACCCCGGCCCAGCTCTGACCTGCATGGCCAGGTGTGAGAAGGCCACTGCCCTCTCCATGTCATTCTTGGGAAGGGGGGGGGGCACATCACACCCCAGGGTGTCACTCTTGCCACATAGTGAATGCCTCTCTTATCCGCCAACATCCACAGTCCCATCCTACTTTGCTCCGAAAGAAAAGATAGCAGAAGCACCCGGCAGCTCTACAACACACCAGGGAACGGTTTTGGCGGGGCTGACAGGTCCCGGGGAGCTGGCCGGCAACCGCCTGCTCTCGAGCCAGGGCCTGGCATGCATCTGACACAGAGCGCGGTCATAAAAGTTTACTGGACAAAGTCTGTGAGGTGCCGGTGCTCCTGAAGCAACGCATAGCCCCCGCCTTCTAAAAGCCCGCGGAGCAAAAGGGTCTGGGAGCCGCCTAGTCCCTGCCTTGCATGCACACTGCAGCCGGCCAACTTGTTTTGCAAAAGAAAAAAAAAAAATAGGGAAACTGGCTTCCCAAACCCTCCGCCTCTTGCAAGCAGAGCCAGAAGTGACGGTCTGAATTTTGAACTCGGTTACTAAGCCTCTGTGAGTTCAGCGATACGGAAATATGGGTCCCTTTTCTGTTTCATGCTCGTGGGAATTTATCTGATGGGAAGGCATGTTAAATGACTGCGTGGGGTTCTGTAAGGGCCACCTGGCCTTGGGTGAATCACTTGGCCCCTTGCTTTTTTCAATGTGGTCAGACAGGGTGGCTGAGTTAGACTACAGATCTCGGATTCATCTGGGTGGTCCCCACGCACCCAGAGAATCTCCATGAACCACTCGGAGCTGTTCAGCGTGTTCTGCCCCTCTCAGAAGCTAGCCTGGGAGCAGGCCCAGAGCATATTTCCTTTTACCAGGAAACAGCAGCAGATCCTGGGGAAGTCAGGCTTCAACGTTCCTGATGGCAGGGGTTAGCCACACCAGGCTGCCAGCGCCTCTCGTTCCTGCCCTTCCTTAGGAAGCAGCGGGCGGAAACGGGGGACAGTCTGGGAGTATTTCCTCTACGTCTCTGGCAGGCTTCACTGGACGCAGCCTGGCTCCAGCCCCGGCGGAGGGCTCAGCACTTGGCTGCGGACGGCCCTGGGCTTTGATTGGCCGAGAAAAGACTTGACATAGGTGTATGAGGAATGTGCACCATGGGCTTATGATTACAGACCATCCGAGCTGGGGTTGCTGCGGGGTCAGCTCAGAGCAAAGTTCCAAACACCAGCTCTGGAGGCAAGCGGGGATGGCGACTCGGCAGGAAGGGAGCCCACGGGAATTCCTTAGCCAAGCTCCTCTGCCCAAGGCAGGGCTACACAGCAGCTGTGTGAGGACCAGAATGGATTTTGGTGTAGGAGAGGGAGAGGGAGAGGGAGAGAGTGGAAGGGAGAGGCAGAAAGAGAGACAGAGAGAGAGATAGCATGCAGCCAACTTGGGTTCAATTCCTGGTACCCCATATGGTCCCCCAAGCACCACCAGGAGTAATTCCTGAGTGCACAGCCAGGAGTAACCGCTCAGCACCACCAGGTGTGCTCTCCCCCCCCCCAAAAAAAGGGACAAGACAACCCAACAACAACAACAAAATACCCAAACAAACCAACAAACCCAACTCTAACCGACACTGCAAGCAGCTTTGAGTCACTGGGTACAAGCGATTCACCCATTTTTACGAGGCGGTGATGCTGAAATCCGAGCCCCTAATTTAACTGTCCTCAGGAGTTCCACTAAGGAAAATCCTGTTGTGTAACCACAAGAGGGAAACTCCGAGTGAGTGGTCGTCTTTTCTGGAAGAAGCTTTTCCACTTGGCTGCAGTGTGTTTATTTACACACGGCAACCTTCTGTCTTGGACACCCTTCCCTTCATTAGGATGAGAGGGATTTCTCTGTCCTTCTGCCAGGATGTAGTCTTGACCCTAAAAAATGCCACGTAATGGTGCCTGGGGAAGTGGGGAGAGATTATCACCCAGATTTCAGCATCAACAGTGAAATATGAATATATATACATATATACATACATATACATATGTATGTATATATGTATATGTAGGTTCTGCCAACCGACACCCATTTTGCTCTGACTTGCAAACCAGTAAAATGAAGCAGACATCTCTCACTGACAGAGCAGAAACCATCTCCCCTTGGAGGAAAAAAAAAACAGGGTGGCATTGAATGTCTCAAGTGCAAAGCAAACCTGCTTCTCCGCTGACAACTTGCCGTTTGTCCCTCTTGGAAAGCTTCTCCCCCGGGACCCCCCTGTTCCCCTAGCCCTCACCCAAGACCTACGCCGTCCCTCCACGCCGCGCTCCCGGAGCGTGGGTGACATTTTATCCTGCCACCTAAATAAACTTCTGTCACCTGTCTGCTAAGGGGAGAGCCCGCGCTGAGGGGAGGGCGCGGGGTGAGTTTAAAAAGCCAGCGAGAAAACACCCCAGGAGGAAATGACCCATTTCCTCCGCAAAACCATCCTCCTGCACCGTTCCCGGCACGCGGGCGCTTCTGCCGCAGCCCCGCGGGCCGCCCCCGGAACCTTGAAGTTGAGTTGACAGCTCGGGACGGTCACGGCTGCTGAGCCGGGGCGTGCGGGCGGCAGGGAGACCCCGGCGGGGATCCCGGGACGCGCACCGCGGGGTCGGGGTCGGGGGACGCGCGTCGCGGGGTCGGAGTAGGTAAGGGGGTGCTGCTGCTGTGCGCGCCCGGGCCGGGACCCCCCCTGGCATCGGGCTCTGCTGACGCACGGCGCGGGCAACTTCATGCGGAAAAGGCACGCAGGGGGCTCAGCCCCGCGCCCTGGACGCGCCCGATCGCCGGGAAGCTCCGGCCCCTCGGGGATGGGGAGGCGGCAGGGGGCTGCTGGTGATGGCAACGGGAAGGCGGGGGGACAGGTGTCTCCAGGGAGGGGTCCGCCCTGCAGCTCTCACCCGGACGGATCCCCCCACCCCAACAAAACTGTACTCGCGCCCAGGGTCCTGCAACTCTCTCCAGCGTCTGCCCACACTGGCGAGTGCGCGTCCTCCCGGGGGGCCCCCCAGCACTCCCAACTGTCAGAATATTTTCCGGGGGAGGTAGGGGGGGAAATGAATAAATAAACAAATTCTCCCAAAATGTTCAGTGGTCACATGAGGACCCCCCCCTCCATTCTCACCCAGCCCACCCCAATCCACCCTAGCAGCAGCAGTAGCTCCCACGGATTTTTTAGGTCTAAAAGGGGGGGAGGAAGGACAATATCCATAGCCCACAAACTTTTAAGACGCGTAAAATAATAAAACCAACTCACCAAGTTAGAAGGGAGGAGAATAAACCCCAAAAGGCTCCCAATAAGGCGGAGGCTGGGCCTCCCCCTCCTTATAAGCCGCTCGGGAACGTGAGAAAGGTTTAACCCCTAAGGGCGCGGGCCCCAGCCGAGCCCAAGTTGGCGGGGCCGGCTGGACACGGGGCCGCCCGCCGCGCCCTGGCCGGGGGCGCCCCCCGCCACGCCCTCCCCCCCGCCCCGCGCCCGCGCCCGGCCCGCGCGAGCCGCCGCCGGGGCCCCGCGGCCCCGCGCCGCCGCCGATCCCGGCTCCGAGACCGGCTGCAGCCGGTCTCCGCCGGCCTCGGGGGCGCGCCGCCGCCGACCATGTGCTGCGAGCGCCGAGCGCCGCCACGGAGGGGGCCGGCCTGGCGCGCGCGCGCCGGCCCACGTGGACCCGGAACGCGCCGCGCGCGCGCCCGCGCTCGGGGTCACGGAAGGTAACGGCGTCGCCGCGCCGGGCGCCGGGGTCCCGCGGGGGCGGAGGGCGCCCACCCGCCTCCACGCCTCTGCCCGCCGCCGGGGGTGCTGGGGGCAGGGGGGTGCTGGGGTCCCGGGCCCCGCCGCGCCTCCTCCTCCCGCTCCTCCTCCTTCTCCCCGCCGGCGCCGCCGCGCGCGCTGCAAGTGGAAAGCTTGGAGCAGGGGCGGGGGTGGCGGGGGTGTTCGGGGGCGCCCGCACCGGCTCTTCTAGCACCCCCCCTCGAGGCCTCCGGAGCCCGGGCGCGCGCGCTGGTGGGGGGGAATCTCCGGCGGGGGCGGCGCGCCCGGGCCGAACAGGTTCCTTCCAGTTTGGGTGGGAGCCGCCGCCGCCTTTGCTGCTGCTGCTGCCGCTGCGCGCGCGGCTCCGCACCCCGGAGTTCCTCCTGGCTGCGCCCACTTCCCCCATCCCGTCAACTCGCGCACCCCCGCAGTTCCCCTTCCGGCCGGGGGTGCGCTGGGGGATAGGGGTCGCCCGTCCTCGCCTGCCCCGGGTTCTTCGCTGCTGCTTCCTCGGCGGATGCAACAGCAGCTGCTGCTGGTGCTGCCGGTGCTGGTGCAGCTGCAGCTGCTGCAGCGGCGGCGGCGGCAGCAGCGACCACCAGCATCCGCGGGGCGCGGACACCCGAGCCGCCGGGCTGAGTCAGCGGCCCCGGCCCGGGACTGGCGCGCGCGCGCATCCCCCTGCCCCCGGGAGGCTGGAGGCGACGCGTCCGCACAGGTGCACGGGCGCCCCGGCAAAGGACGCGCCGGGACTTTCGCGGGGACGGGTGGCGGGGGGAGTGCAGGCCGCGCCTCTCCTGCCCCCCAAGTTCCGGACCCCCAGGTCACGGGGAACTCCGAAGGATGCTCGGTGTCAGCGCGTCGTCGAGACAAAGCCGAGGGTGGGATCCCAAGGCGTTTCGGAGTCTCCGGGGGTGGGATGCTGGGCGCAGACTTGGTTTCCGCGTCTCCACCGTGCGCCCCCCCACCCCCGGGCCCCCGACCCCGAGCTAACCCGGGATCTGTCCGGAGCATCCTCTCGGCCGCTCCCACCCCACCCCACCCCACCCGCCTTGGCACGGGCTGTAGCTGCGGGACCTGGGAGGGATGCGGAGAATCGAGACCGCCTGGCCGGGGCGGGGGATGGGGTCGCCCCCAGGGAGGAGTCGGAGATCTGAAGGTTCGTCGGGCTGCTGAGATGGTGCTATGACCCAGGCGCTGGCTTGGCACGCAGCCCACCAGGTCGGACCCCACACACCCGCATCGAGCCCCGCCAGGAGTGAACCCTGAGCCCCGCCACCCCAGACCAGAAAGGTCGCCGCTTTCTGGGTTTCTCTCGTGCCGTGGGGGTAGGGGCCACCGGCTTAAATGCCGTTCTGTGTTGTGCCAGGCTCCAGCGCTCATGTGGGGAGCGAGTGTGTGTGGATGCAAGGTGCCGGCTCGTGACCAGTACTATCCTAGTGCTTCCCCCTCCCCCCCCCCCACATACCCCATTAGCCATGAAACCTTGCTGGAGCAGGTTAATGCCCTAGAACATCCATTTGCATATCTATAAAATAAGGAGAGTCGTGAGATCCCCAGAACCTGGAGAGTTTTGATTTACGGTGCCTGGAGAGAGCTCAGGCTGACCGCATCCGCGCCTGGCTCAGCAATCTGGGCTTTTTTTTTTTTCTTTTTTGTCTTTTTCTTTTTTTCTGGCTTCCCAAGCCCAGTCGTCCAGACTCTCACTCAAACCCCGCAGCCATCCTTTTCCTCGGCTGTTCTTCCAAGAATCCACAGGTAATGATATCTGCAAACCGGTGTCGGTGGCTGAACTGGACAGTGACCAGCACTGGTTTGCCACCAGGGCCGGCTGTCATCTTGATGGATCTGAGTGCTTTGGGGCTTGCCTGGGCTCTAAGCTGGAAATGGAACATGTAATGTGAGGGCAGCACCGACAGGTACTGAGGCTCCTCCCTCGGGAACTGAGGCTGTGCTGTCTGTTTGGGGTTTTGTTTTTGAATCAGGGGCCGGAGAGATACACTTCAGTGTATATGCTTGCCTTGTTTATGGCTGACTCGATTTGCACAGGGTCCCTGTGCAGCATCAGGAGTGATTCCTGAGACCAGAGCCAGGAGTCAGCCCTGAGAACCGCCAGTTGTGACACCCTTACAGACAAACAAAACTCTACCTATGGGGCTGGAGTGATAGCACAGTGGGTAGGGCGTTTGCCTTGCATGCGGCCAACCCGGGTTCGATTCCCAGCATCCCAGATGTTCCCCCAGCACCACCAGAAGTAATCTCTTAGTGCTGAACCAGGAGTAACCCCTGTGCATCGCTGGGTGTGACCCAAAAAGCAACAAACAAACAAACAAAAAACCCTCTGGCTAAAAAAGGCCATACCTGGCAGGGCTGAGTTGCAGCCTGGCTATGCTCTGGGGCTGGACAGGGGTGGGAGGGTAGGGTGGGGGGGAGGCATCACAGCTGGTGGTTTCGTGGGGGTTGGGGGCAGGGTGGAAGGGTGGTGTGCCTTGCTGGGTATGGGATTTACTTTTCACATGCTGGGACTGTGTTCTAGCATTTAAACCATCTCCTGGCTCCCTTACCCGCGGCCTCCCCCCAATCCCTTAGCCCCCCACCCCCACCCCTTTTTTCCTCTAAATAACAGTGACGATAAGCAAGCTTGGAAGCCAGGAAAGGTGTGGATGCTTCCGCTTCTTTGATCTCAAAAAGAGAAGTAATGCCAACAACTATCATGAATGAAGGATTAGGAAAGTCACATCTGAGTGTTTGCCCAGGGAGGAGAGGCCATAACGGTAATAATAAAAGTTATGGCTTTATTGTATCATGGTGGTTTTTTTTTTCCTTTTTCTTTTTGGCAGTTCTGAGGGATTGAACCTAGGACCTCAAACGTGCTAGGCATATGCTCTACCACTGAGTCACATCCTCTCCCTATTAGTACTAATTATAATATTTTAGATAGGGGTGTGTGGGCATGTGTGTGTGTGCGTGTGCGTGTGTGCGTGCGTGCTATGCCTGGAATTGAACCACATGCAGGGTAAGCATTCAGCCTTTGAGCCACTTCTCCAGCCCCTATAGTCATTTCTTTCCTGGCAGGCTGGAGCAATAAATAGTACAGCGGGGAAGGCATTTGCTTCGCATTTGACCAACCCAGGTTCGATCCCCAGTATCCCAGACAATCCCCTGAGCACCACCAGGAGTAATTCCTGAGTGCAGAGCCAGGAGTAACCCGTGCGCATCGCCGGGTATGACCCAAGAGCCATTAATAATAATAATTTCCTTTTTTTTCTGTCATGTGGCTTTGCACACACCACTGTGCCAGACTTGACTTCATTTCCATCTCATCAGCAAGAATGCTGTTAAACAGCATTGTGCCCGTTTTACAGATGAGAACAGTGGAGGCCTGGAGGGATTTTTTTTTCCTCCCCAAGATTTCTGAACATTGATAGACCAACATGGACCTTTCCAGCCAGTGGCATTTTGTCACCTGCGTTTGAATGTGAGGCTGGAAACTGAAACCTCTGTCCAGCTCAGCCAGCCGCAAACCCAAGACTTCTGCACCCTGGTTCAAAGCTGGCTTTACCTCGTTCCCTCCGTCCAAGACAGACCCAGGGCAGAAGCCCAAGGAAGGGTGAGAGAGGGAAAGCATGATTACCATGCTAAACTAAGCCCCCAAACAAAACAAACTCTGTTGAGTTCTAAACAGAACAAAAGAACCTTTGGAGTCTGGAGGAGAGAACCCCCAAAGTTAAGAAATTCTGAGAAGGGTCTAGCTCTCCCTTCCTCTGCTGTGTTCTGTGGCACCCCCAGTGGCAGGGGGACCCCCAGCCCACCCCACCCCTGGCCCTTCATCCCCAGTAGACTGGGCTGCTTCCCTGCTTTCATCCTCTGGGGCAGAAACCAGCCTAGCTAGGGCCCTCTCTTTTCTAACCATCCTGCAGAGGCCCATTTGCATGAGAACAGAAGGCTTTGTGCGGAGTTGGCCTGCTCCTGCTCTGTCACCGTTCAAAGTCCCCCCTCGTCTTCACGTTGGGTTGCTAGGCAGATATGGCCCTGGCTTGCAAATAAGCTCGCTGCTTTGGCATGCCCCTGAGAACTGCAACTCGGGGTGCGCTGATGGGAAGGCATCTGGTCCCGTGCTCGGTGAGATGAGAGCTTGCTCTGGGTCACTGAGCCACAGAGGCAGAGGGGAGGTTTGCGGGGGTCTGCCCCCCAAGGCCCTCCTCCTGTTGGGGTGACCTATAGGGTTTTCTGTTTTCTTTTTGGGAGGGCTAGGGAATAGGGAGAGGTTGGGGGCTTGGACCTTAACCCATCATTAAATCAGGAGTCATTATTCCTGGCGGTGCAGGGCAGGGATCATATGGGATGCCCGGGATCGAACCTGGGTCGGCCAGGTGCAAGGCAAGGTCCTTACTTGCTGTACTATGGCTCCGGCCCTACCTGTGGGTTTTTCTGCAGAAGTGAATTCTCCGTGCAGCAGGGAGGCTCAGACTGTCCTCTTGGGATACTGATCATGTGACACTGAAAATTGTGTTGGGGTTCACTGATGGTTTGGGGACTAGGGTTTTGTTGTTGGTGGTGGTTTTTTTGGAGGGGGCACATCCAGCGGTGCTCAGGGCTCAATCCTGGTTCTGAATTCCATTTGGGAGACCATATGGGTACCCGGGACCAACCCCAGGTGGATTGTGAGCAAACCCTTCCTCACTGTACTCTCTCTAAAACCCCTGGTGGAATGGTTTGAAGGGAGGGAGAGCATTTCAGAGGGAAAATCCTGGCAGGGAAGAGGGGGGAAGGCATAGGCTTAGTCCAGACTCTGGAGAGTTTGGGGGGAGCCAATTTGTACAATGTCCACTCTTTCCCAAAATAGATTGGTCTGTGAACCCAGGGGGGCAGTCTGGTGACCTGTGATCCATTATTCTTACCAGTTGGCCCTTTGACTTAAGGGGAATCCAGGGTGTGTGTGTGTGTGTGTGTGTGTGTGTGAGAGAGAATTGGGGCACCGGGGTTTGGGTATGGAAATACTGAGGTTCTTCCAACAGTCTGGTCTTAGGCTTCATAGCATACATTGTCGCATGGATTGTCTTCTTGTGAATTAACAGAAATTATGTGGTAGGAATCAACTCAGAAGGGATTTTCTGACCTTTGGAGTCAGATAGGAAGAAGAAAATTTCCAGCAGTACACAGGTCTATTTCAGAGAAGGAGGATGAAAGACAGAAGCCCCTTTGAGCATAAAAGTCCATTGTGTTGGGACAGAATGGGAAAACCGTTTTGAAAAAGAAGCAATATAAAATTTCCTGTGTAAGGACAAACAACGTCATGTAATTTTTTTTTTTTCAATGAACGGTGGTAGTTTTGTAATGACTCCCATGTTTACCGTCAGTGAGATGCATTCCCAGGGTGATTTGATAGTTTGTTTTTGTTTTTTTGTTTTTCACTTTTTGGGTCACACCCAGCGATGCACAGGAGTTACTCCTGGCTCATACACTCAGGAGTTATGCCTGGTGGTGCTCAGGGGACCATATGGGATGCTGGGAATCGAACCCGGGTTGGCTGCATGCAAGGCAAACTCCCTACTCACTGTGCTATCGCTCCAGCCCTGATCTGATAGTTTTAGCACTGTCCTCCTGTCGATTTGCTCAAGCGGGCACCAGTAACATCTCACAACAAATAGTGAGGCTTGTTACTGTGATTGCCATATCAGATACGTCACGAGGAGCTTGCCAGGCTTTGCCATGCATATGAGATACTTTCGGTAGCTTGCCGGGCTCTCTGAGAGGGGCAGAGAAACCGAACATGGGTCGGCCGTGTCCAAGGCAAATGCCTTACCTGCTGTGCTATTGCTCTAGCCCTGATCTGATAGTTTTACCATGAATTAATATTGACAGATATCCTTGAGTGGCATCTTGTATCTTGGGGTGAGCAGATGCTCTGTGGTTATTCCCAACTGACCAGGAGTGATTCCGGGGAGTGCTCGGCAGAACATATGTGTGTGATGCAGGGGATTCAGGGTCGGATGCATGCAAAACAGTACTATCTGCCCCCTTAAATGCTATATTTTTTTTTCCTTTTTTTTTTTTTTTGGCAATTTAAGGTCATTATGAAACATGGGAAGCGAGACATTGAGGGTGGTTAAGGACTAAATATTTGTTCCCCACTCACCCCGAAATTCCTGTGTTGGCCCCGGAACCCCTAATGGGATGGTCTCTGGAGGTGGCGAATCAGGGGCACGATGAGCTCATGCCAAGGCTGGTGCCCAGGAAGGACATGGTGGGCAGGTGGCCGCCTGCAGGCCAGGGCGAGACCCCTCACCAGGGCTGACCTCCAACCTCCAGGAGTGGAGAACGTACTTTTTTTTTTTCTCATTTCAGTTCCCACTTTGTAGCATTGGGCTACAGCAGTCTGTGCTGACAAATTCATAGTTTTCCCCGAATCTTTCAGAAGAAGATCTAGACAAAAAAAAAAAAAAAGCCAGCACTGACTATGGTGCATATTCCTATGAAGGTAAGAAGAAAGTGGACCCTCCCAGGGAGCACGTGCATCACTGGCTGGAGCTCTGGGTTTCATCCCCGGCACCCCACGTCCTCCAAGCACTGCTGGGCGTGACTGTAGAGCATTGTGGGGCGCATCACCAAAACAAACAAAGAGGAGGTGTTCCCTGCCTTCCCAGGCCCGTTTTCCTTGCCTAAGGTCACCGGGCTGGACCGTGAAAGGCAAAGTCAGCGGCTGGAGAGCTGCAGAGCTACGGCTTCCGGTGTGCATGCAGTTTCGCGTCTGGTCTGGAGACTGGGGTGAGTGGCTTATTCCTCATCTGCTTCCCCGCAAAAGGGGCAACTCCAGTACTACCTACTGAATGGGGTGGTTGGGGCCAGGGGTCGGTGGTTCCGTTAATGCAGGTGGCCCTTGGACAGCTCTGTGCCCGGCTCTCAGGCAGGGGGTGGGGGGTGGGGGGAGGTGAGAGGACGGGGGTCCTCTGTAGCTCAGGATGGGTGGGCCAGAGCTGGTCTTGAGGGTGAGAACATGGAGAAAGACCAGGTAGGACAGGGCTAGGAGGTGAGAGAAGCTAGATGCGGGCCTTGGAGGCTCAGGCAGCATCATCCCCCGCCCCCCCACCCCACCCCCTCACCCAATCATTCCCCCCTCCCATCCCCTTTGGACCTGTGTGGGTGTCCTTGTCCCTGGCCCAGTCCCTTGTCAAACCCCAGTTACGTTTGGTTGGATTTCAACACACATCTTTGTTCCCAGACGTCTCCTCGTTTCTTCATCGCTGGAGCTGTGTCATCCTCTCCCTGATTTAAAAAAGAAAAATAAAAGAGAGAGAACTTTGCGGGGGTGGGGTGGGGGAAGGGGAGGGGCCGTCTAGAGAGTCACGAGAGTGCTGCCAGAACCCCACCAGGAAAACAAAGGAAGCGCCTGGAGTTCCCCAGACGGCCTGATTTCAGGCGTGCTGGGCATGGGGCGTGGGGTCAGCGCCTGGGAGAGGCTGGAGGGTCATGATCTCATTGGAAATGTTGGAACCTGTGAGTGAGTGCGTGTGTGTGTGTGTGTGTGTGTGTGTGTGTGTGTGTTTTCATTTTCCTCTTTTTTTTTTTTTGGACCACACCTCACGGTACTTATGGGTTACTTCCAGCTCAGTGCTCAGGGGGCCATGTGGGCCTGGGGACCGGGCCCAGGGCTCCCACGTGCCAAGCATGTGCTCAGCCTGTGGAGTTCTCTCTCCAGCCCTGCCACCGGAGGCTTGTCCTGACTTCATCCTGTTTTCCGTGGATGACTGGGGTTGGGGGCAGGGTGGGGGGGTGGGGGGGGGATTCAATCTGCACTTCCTCCAGGCTTCTGGCCTGAAGGGAGGTGCCCGCTTTCCCCCTTCGTGTCTGAACAGGCAGGGCCAGGCCTGTCTCGGCTGCTTTCTGGAACAATCCTAAACAAAGGCTGAGCTTCTGCTTTTAACCCGTGAGGGACAGAATATTTCCAGGTGGCCAGAGGGTGCTGGGTGTTTGTGAGGAGGAGGTCGAGAGGGACCCCACTTGGGCATGGTGGGTGGGGTGGGGTGCTGTGCTCACCACAGGTGAAGCCTAAGGCGGTGGGCTGAGAGCCTGTGTGTGCCCCTCCCAGGGCTCATACCCCCATGCCCCACCCAGGTTCTACCCAGACCAGAGAACCACTCCCCTGTGGGTATGGTTACACACACAAACACACACACACACACACACGCCTGTATTTTTTTTTCTTTTTGGGTCATACCCGGTGATGCTCAGCACTCTGCACTTAGGGATCACTCCTGGTGGTGCTCAGGGGACCATACGGGATGCTGGGAATCGAACCCAGGTCGGCCGCGTGCACGGCAAACACCCTGCCTGCTGTGCTATCACTACAGCTCCTCGTGCTATTCTCTTTTGTGGAGCTCAAGGCTTCTTGGCTCTGTGCTCAGGGATGGTGCCTGGCTCTCACACTCCCTCTCCGAGCTTGCCTGCGCCTTGCACACCATGCACGGCTGAGTGTCCCCAGAGCAGGTCTGTGGGTGGGGCAGTGCTTCTAAGGACCCAGCCTGTGTGGCTGGGGGTTGCCTGCAACCCGGGGGCTGGCCCTGATGTGGCTGTGGCATTGGATGACAAGGATTGAGTTGGCGGCCGGAGAGATGGAATAGAGGGAAAGGCATTTGCCTTGCACGTGGCTGACTTGGGTTTGATCCCCGGCATCCCCTATGGTCACACCTGAGCACCACCAGGAGTGATTCTTGAGTGCAGAGCCAGGAGTCAGCCCTGAGCATCACCAGATGTGCCCAAAAACTAAAATAACAGTACTAAATTATTTAAAAATTTAAAAAAATAAAAGGGATTGAGTTGGGAGCTGGGCAAACCCTGCTGGGGAGTCTTTGCTGGCCCCCCGGCACAGGGCGCTTATGACTGGCACCCTGATCTTGTCAGGCTGCAGAATCCACAGCGGGACTTACCAGTGAACAGCTCCGTCAAAGACTCAGCCCACAGGGGCTGGAGCGATAGCACAGCGGATAGGGCATTTGCCTTGCACGTGGCCGACCTGGGTTTGATTCCTCCATCCCTCTCGGAGAGCCCAGCAAGCTACCGAGAGCATCGCGCCAGCATGGCAGAGCTTGGCAAGCTCCCTGTGGCGTATTCGATATGCCAAAACCAGTAGCAACAAGTCTCACAATGGAGACACTACTGGTGGCCGCTCAAGCAAATCAATGAACAACAAACAACGGGAGGACAGTGCTGCAGTGCTACATAGCTAAGGATTGGATGGCAGAATCCTTAGAGGCACGGTCTTCTAGAAATAGACCAGCACACTCCCCAGATCCATGCTCTGAAAGGCAGATTTGGACCCTGCTTCACAGGTCTAAGACCTCTGGCCCCATCCCCAGCCCCTCCGAAACAAATGACAGCATTGGGCCAGAGCGATAGTATAGCTGGGCGTTCGCATTGTACGCAGCCTACCCGGGTTCAATCCCTAGCATCCCATACCGTCCTCCAAGCACCGTGAGGAGTAATTCCTGAGTGCAGAGCCAGGAGTAACTCCTGAACATCACCTTGCTATGACTCAAAATGCCAAAAAAAAAAAAAAAAAAAAAAAGAAAGCATCAAAGCCAAATTCCTAAGCCACTGCCCCACTCAGCATTAACCCCCCTCCCCCCTCAGGCTCTGATTTTGTAAGAGATGAGAACAAATTTGCTCTCACCACCTCATGACTTGCCCTAAGCCTACTCAACTCCAAAGGTCCAGCTTACATACCCTTAAGGCTTGGTGTGTCCATCTCATAGCTATCACCCTAGATCTTTGAAACTCACATTATACTGGCAAGAACAGACCCAGGGATAGTTTACAGCCATGTAGCATTTAAGGAAAAGTTGCCTCAGTCCATGCAGAAGTGACGTAGTGAAACAACAAAAGACAAAAACTTTGACCCAGGAATTATTGACCAATATTCACGTGACTGGGAAGAGAACACATGATCCTAGTTGGCTTGCTGAGAAAATTGCGCTTGAACCTGATTTCAGCTATGGACCAGCAAAACGGTTTCCAGAGTGAGGTGAAGTCCAGAATTATTGCTGGTCTTTAAGAAACAAACAGCTCATATTGCTTTATTGACATAACATGATGGGGTGCGTCAAACAACCCTGTGGATGTCCTGAAATTCTCCTGGATCAGATATGAACACAATCTCAATATATGAAAGTCAACTGGTTTTCTATATTTTATTTACTTGGGGGTGGGAGGTTGCCACACCCAGCAATGCTCAGGGTTATTCCTGACTCAGGACTCACTCCTGGCAATGCTCGGGAGGACCATCTGAGATCTCGGGGATCAAATTCAGGTCGACCACTTGCAAAGGAAGCACCCTACTTGCTAAACTATCTCTCTATCTCTGTTTTTTTATATTCTTCCCCACAAGTTGGGAATTTGAAACTGATATGCCATTTATAGCATTGACAGTCACAAAATACATCTAGCAAAATATATTTAAAAATTTTATATTTTTGCAAAGCTATACATCTTGCAAAGAAAATTTTAAGACTTAAATTATCAAGAGAAACATCATTTTTGTGGGTCCAAAGACTACTTTTTTTGTGTGATATAAATTCTCTCTGGATCTTCTAAGGACTCAAGACACTCCATAACTAAAATTCCAAAGTTTGGGAATTAAAAAAATTCTAGTTCTGTATGTTCATCTACATCTACAAAAACATTTGATCAGATGTTGTTGGCAGTAATTAGAGGTCACTCCTGGTGGTGCCCAGGGGACCATGTGGCTCCAGGAACTGTCCAGGCCACTGAGCTTGGTCTCTGGTCCAATAACTAGATTCTGAAGTGTGAAGACTTTCAAGGACTAAAGTTTTCCTTCTCTGGTAACAAATCTACAGAACTGAGAGAAGGTGTGTTACAGATTCATCCAGTAGCAGAATTCTTATGGAAATGACAGATTACCAGTTTGTCTGGTTTTGACCAAGAAGGCCTGGTAACAGGAATGTCATTCTTCCTGCCAACCATATTCCTTCGCTTGCACAAACGAGCAAGTGAGGCACAAAATGAGCCAGGTGGGGCTGGTGTGGTAGCACAGCGGGTAGGGCGGTTGCCTTGCACGCGGCCAACCCGGGTTCAATTCATTCCCAGCATCCCATAGGGTCCCCTGAGCACCGCCAGGAGTGACTCCTGAGTGCAGAGCCAGGAGTAACCCCTGTGCAACGCCAGGTATGACCCAAAAGGAAAAAAAAAAAAAAGCCACGCTCCACATCTAGTTTCTTCTCCAGGGGAGGATGGTGGCTTAGAGAAAACTCAGGTGTGCTTCTGAAGCTCGCCTCTGTCTTCCTGTCTGGCTTGGCTTCAAGGACCCAGCCATTTTCTTTCCTTTCTTACTGATTGATGTTCTGTGATGGACAATACTGCTAGTGATGGTTTCTCTTGCTCATCATGCCAGCACCACACCCATCGCCAGGGTACCCACCTCCCTCCCAGAAGGGCCCCGACACATCTCCTTCCCCTTCTCAGCCCCATGGTATGGATCAGCTCTCCCGTTGGGCTGCCCTTGGCCCTTGGTGGCTCCTTGGCTATATCTTTTTATTTACTTTTATTTATTTATTTATTGCTTTTTGGGTCATACCCGCTGATGCACAGGGGTTCCTCCTGGCTCATGCACTCAGGAATTACTCCTGGCGGTGCTCGGGGGACCATCTGGGATGCTGGGAATCAAACTCGAGTTGGCCACGTGCAAGGCAAACGCCCTACCCGCTGTGCTATCGCTCCAGCCCCTCCTTGGCTCTATCTTAAGGCCCCCCATG